TAAAGGAAGGTGCTTCTTTGCAGGTTACATAAGGTTAAAGAGTTGACACGTTGCAAATAACATTTGTAATTAACACTGACATCTTCACTGAAAGTAGAAAAAGCTGGTTAGATAACAGGAGACACAAGACTAACAAGAATACAGACCTGAAGTTTATTATGTATCTGAGTACAAATGGTGGGACAAACCCCACACCATAATCATTCCCCATTTTTCACACCCTACAATGCATTTGTTATGTGCCTTCAAGTCAGAATCAACTTAGAGCAACCCTAATAGGGCTTTTGAGGTAAGATATTTAAGGAGTAGTTTTACCAGTTCCACTTCCCTGCTGAGTTTCCATGGCTGAGCAGAGATTCAAATCCAGGCTTCCTGAGTCCTAGTTTGTTACTCTTATACCACAATGGATATACGGGGTGTATTTACAGTATTTTTTAATCACCCAAAATCAGTTTTGAACTATAATTCTCAAGACTGACTGCAAACAATGACGGTTTCAGCATAATTTCCAATTACAGCCTAACATCATTTTCTGCTGGGATTTAGGGGATGAAATGCAATTTCATTCCTACCTAGAATGGACCTACTGAAATCAAACGGACTTAAAAGATTGGTACCTTGCATCCGACACATTTCAATGAGCCTAAACTGAGATGAGACTAATGCTGAATTTAGGTCATGGAGTTGTGCGTTCATTTCCATGATGCTGGGTGCTCAAGGACACCAGTAGTGTTCCTTACTTACAAGGATGAGAAGCATCTTGCTGGGCTTCTTCCATCTTCTACAAGGATGTGATGGGGAAATGAACTCCTCCCCCCAAAGTGTCTCTGTGTGTGTTTTAATTGGGCTCAAAAATCCTTTAGGGATTATAAAGACAATTCTGCCAGTTTTTGAGGGTTAGCCAGTTGTCCTGTCTCCTCCACCACCATACAATCAGCTGCTTTAAAAAAAAACATTTTCAGAAATTACATTTTGGCAACTCAGATTCATTTATGAGGACTGTAGGTTGAGACATTTATAAGCAACACAATACAAACAAAACAATTATCTTAAGCAAAAGAATACTACATGCATGGTCAGATTTACAAATCCTGTCACTATGCAATGCTACTAAACTGTGGCCTTGTGTGGTTTGTAAAACTGTTTAGTTCGTTTTCTTGTGGCACAAGGCACATTTTTAGAAAATACTTTTCAACCACTAGGTGGTACAAAGAGGCCTTTTTCAGTTGGCGGGGAACATGACTACCAGCAGCAAAGAGGTGACACCATTTATTTACTTTCAGTTTTTGTTTCAAAACTCAACACCTACCTCTCAATGATTTTTAAGGTATTTGACAACACTACACCTTGATAAACAATGATGGAAATATCCCAGGTCCATGGAAAACATCATTGGTTATGCCCATAACAAAAAAGGTGATAAAACCGACCAAAACCACTACAGACCAATTTGCCTTCTGGCAGTGATTGGCAAGCTGTACTCATCACTCTTACAAAGAAAACTGACACACCAGATAGATGACGAGAAGATACTGGGTGATAAACAAGCAGGCTTTAGAAAAGGCCACTCCTGCACAGACCATTGTTTTGCTCTGACCTTGCAAAGTAAATGTCTGTTTAAGTACACCCGGTATTTGACAACACCAGAAAGATGCATACTCAGGATGTACATCCATTGCCAAGATTGCACACCCAGGTATCAGGTCTGTGCATCACTAATCTGGGTACCAGAAGAATCACTCCCCTCCCCCCCCTTCCTGCATTATTTTCCCAAGGTCTCATTGGAGAGCTTTCCCTGCATGATTCCACATTCTGAAGTTAGGGGAAGGATAACTTCGGAGAGGACTTTTTCGGCTATGGGATGCCAATCATGGAACATTCTCTTCCAAAGGCATCCCACTATGGAAATGTGGAGTTGGAACCAATTACTGCCATCCTGTAGCAGATGTAATGGGCCCTGTTCAGTTTTACAGGACAATTCAAAGTGCCAATTTTGACCTACAAATCTCTTAAACTACGTTCAAAAGTTTGAATGCCTTCCTGGGGTCTCACCAACTGCAGATTGTGACTGGAGACGTTTTGGGTGGCATTTGGCTTTGGACCTCTTTCCTAGAGATATTTACCTAGCCTTGAGCCTGTTGGAGAATAAGAGGGGTGGGAACTGACCTTCTTCTTTTCCCAGGCAAAACTTTTTATGTTTCAAAGTCTTTTGAAAGAACTGAGATGTTTCAAGCAGCTGCGTTGTGCCCATGTGGAGTTCTTATTCCATCACTGCAATGGGAATAGAATCATGGAGTTGGAAGGGGCCTGTAATGCCATCAAGTTCAATCCCATGCTCAAGGCAGGAATAGAGGTTAAAATTCTTTCTTTCTTAAAGCATATTTAACTGATGGCTGTCTAGTTTTCTCTTGAATGCTCCCAGTGTTGGACAGCTCAACAACTTCTGGTTCTATTGCCGTATTATTCTAACAGTTGAGACGTTTTTCCTAATATTCAGCTGAAATCTGGCTTCCTGTAACTTGAGCTGTCAAGCAAGGAGAGACGATAGTCCCAGGATGTAAAATGGATATCATTTTATTATTTAAAGATGCGAGCCCAATACGTTTCGGCTAATGTATTTTAGCCTTATTCAGGGGCATTGATATTGCACTTATACTGAATCTGTCTGAGGCTTTTTAGGGAGTTTTCCATTCCCTTCTTTCTTTTTAGTCCTTTTTGTTCTTGTTCCTGTAACTTGAGCCCATTACCGAGCTCCATATGTTGCTATTGTGTACACACATATACACATATTTGCAGTTCCTCTTTCATAGCATCTTCCACCATTTTGCTGAACTTCACTTTTTAGCCTGCAGTTTTGTACGTGAAGCATCTAATATCTGCTATAGTGTCTGTTCCATCCATACAAATAAGATCCACTGAGGCCAAATGAGAAGATACTGCTCATGTATCCTACCCATCCAGATGGTCTACAAAATATTAGGAAAATGCTAGCAAAAGACTAATAAAATGGATCCTTTAATAAGTGACTATGTTATACTGCTATTTCTGTTCTTCCTTTCTGTTGACTGCATTTTAAACTTTGTGAAATGAAAGTTCATGTTACAAGAACAAAAAAATCACATTCTTTCAGTCCCATGTCATCTACTTCTAGATTACCTAGGTCTATGAATATAGTAGTTAGCCTTCTTTCTTCATTACACTTCTCTCTTAAATTATGTGTGTCCAAGTAGTGTGGTTTTGCTTATACATTTTAAACAAACACTCAATAAATACTGTGCTGTTTGTCTCCAGGAAGTGACCTGAGAGAGGTGGGTCCTGTTGTTGTCAGTGAAAATGTACCTGTTTGGTGGCAGTGGCCCAGCCGCTCCCTCTCCTGGCATGGCAGCTCCATGTGGTGGCCAAGGAGTGTGCTGGGACATGTCAGGAGACTGATGTGGGTCAGGCGAGGTCTCCCCCCCCCATGTGTGTGTCTCTGTATTAATCAACTGTATGCTTTGCAGTTGTATTTTTGGGGCATAGGAGTTATACATGAATTTTGAACTACATGGAGATCCATGTAGGATATCTGCAAGCATCCTTAGGAATGGACCTCAACAGATGGGAAACTTTGACATCTGAGCATTCAGCCTGGAGGCAGGCAGTGCATCATAGCCTCTCCCAATTTGAAGAGACACTTGTACAGCAGGCAGAGGCAAAGAGGCAGTCCCGAAACAAGCAAAACCAGGAAGCTGGACAGGGGACAGATTGTATTTGTCTTCAGTGTGGAAGGGCCTGCCACTCTCGAATTGGCCTTCTCAGCCACACTAGACACTGTTCCAAGTCCTCCATATACAGCACGTTACCAAAGTCTCTCGAGACTGAAGGATGACTACTAAGGAGGTCCAGCGTTGAAGGGAGAAGTCTAGAATTCCTTGTATTAAGAAAGGTTTTCAAGAGAAACATACGTAGTGTTTTCAGGGAGTGACTACCTTGGCCATTTAATCCCACAATTTACAGCAGATTAGGCACTAATGAATTTAAATTAAATCCCAGTGACACAATGTAAAGATCAAAATACAGAAGTCCATCGTGATATCATCTTTTTTGAGGGCAAAACCATCTTTTTGTTCAGCTACCATGGATAGTTTAAATTTGTTATTGTTTCGACATTGCTTTTGTTCCCTTTCTGTTAATGTGATTGTCTAACTGGAAGTGAAGGGGCACTTGCAGGGGTGTCAGTTCCCCTCCATCAAATGCCTCTTGTCTCCAACTATGTATTTTTTTTTAAATAAAAGGTTTTACTTCAGCACTGGAACAGATTTCTGCTAGAGCAGGGGTCCCCAACCCCCAGTCTGTGGCCTTGGTAGGACTGGGCCACGTAGACAGATCTCCCACTGCCCCCTCAGGCACAGATGCGCGCGCACACACACACACACACACACACACACACACACACACACACATGCCCACCCGCCCCCATACGCACGCACAGACGTACTCTCAAACATATATATGTACACACAGATGCACTCGCCCCCACATGCATGCTAAACTGGTCCATGGTATCGAAAAGGTTGGGGACCACTGTGCTAGAGCACTTAGGAGGCCAACAGAAGAGAGAAAGAGAGGTGGAAATTACCAAACAACACTTGCTAGCACCCTGTTAAGGCAGGGTCTGTTCTTGGGGCTCAGCATAAACAGTTCTCTCCAATTGCCCCTGCTGAATCCTGCCAATCTGGATGGCTACAATGAATTCACTACAGAAACCTGATTTCCACAGGTGCAAATCACAGAGGATAAACCTGTATTTTTCCTGCTGTATAGTCACAACCCTTCATTTGAACACCATTGGGTTGAATTAGGAAACAACCGTGAGGTCACTGGAGAAGTGGGATATAAAGGTAACTTATAAATAATATGTGTTTTGAGATTTATACTGAGGTCATCCTGAGAACATCAAGTTCATGTTTGGTCACAAGCAAAACCAGTAACAACCACACAATTCCATTTGTTGTGGATTTTTTTTTTAATTTAAGCATCAATTTCCACAAACTTTTACATTTACAAGCTTATATTCTCTGCAAGCAAACCCAACAGAACAATAAAACACTGTTTCTGATTCTATTATGAACTTTTAAAACTTGCTGAATTTACAAATTAATGTCCTGAAAAGCTGGATAAATTATACATCCTTCTCACTCAATATCCACACACTACAGCATCTTTAAACATTCACACAGGCACATGGTTACGATTATCTCGCTTTACAACCAAAGTATTATTTACACAACCTTTGTTGACACAGTTGGTGCAGTTCTTTTAGATAACCGTCAAGGTTCACAAACATATTTAAAATATATTTAGCAGCATATGAAATTAGATTAAAAGAAAGGACACATCATTTCTTTTTTAAAAAAGAACAAAACAAAACAACCACGGGAGATGATAGAAACAGGTCCTTCAGAAAAATAGATTAAGCCATTTCTGTAAGAATACTGTACTGTGGCAGGCAAAGCGCTAATAAAGTTTTTAGAATTCAACAGCATGTTAGTTCTAGTCCTGAGCACAGAGTAGACATAGCTGCACACCTTTGGTCGAGAAGAGTAGATGCTAACCATTAACCCAGGGGCATTCACTGTTAGCCTCACACTGTCAGGGGAGTATCTCAGTTTGCTGAGACTCCCATCCTAATGTTTCTTACAGCAGTCAAACGTCTTAGTTTCCTCCCCTCCTACTGCCCACCCCTTCCTGGACAGTCCACTTCTGTTCACGGTCTGAGAAATTAGACTATAAATAACAGCAGCACATTCCATACAACCAACTGTGAAGTGAGGTTTGGCTGAACAGAAGGGTCAGTGAATGAGGTATGTAGGGCACTTCCAGTATTCAAGGTTAGTTTCTGAGACGGCCATTCAAGCCCACAGACTTCCAGTTTGTTAAATTCACAAGGCTTACATAGGCACACAAATTGAGCCATTATATGTCAGACAAGCGTGTACACCTACAGTATATAAAGATAAACAACAGACTAATGTTTTAAATACAGGACACAGGTACAGTTCCTAAGGGCAGCAGTGTCAGCAGAATACAAGACATGTAACAGGAGCGTTGAGCTGTGCCTTCCAGGGTTTCATTTTCTCCCCCCAGGCTGCTAGCCTTTGCCTACTAAAATGCAAATCAACTGGCAGGGAGAGCATAACCGGTCACCGGAGCTCAAGAGATGTCCAGCGCTGCAACTCTTGTTTCAATTACTGGCAACACCGGTCACCGGAGCTCAAGAGATGTCCAGCACTGTTTCAATTACTGGCAACGTCTTCGCTGGTATCACCAGGATCTGAGATCTGTCCATCGAGACTGCCAGGAGCTTTCCAGATTCTCACTGTTCGATCACTGCCAAAACATTTACAAACAATCAAATCCATTCATGGACACGAAGAAGAAAAAAGAAGCAGGGAAAAGCTCTCTGTATATTTATATTTCCATAAATTAACATGTACAGATATTTTTTTTCCAGAATCTTTTCTTAAGCAGGCAATCTCTAAAAGTGAATATGCATCAGCAGCTCTGGATAGCTCAGTGGTCTGGCTGAGAGTTCAGTTCCCCACTGTGCCACCTGGACAGGGGCTGGACTCAACAATCCATAGAGTCCCTTCCAGTGCTGCAGTTCTAAGATTATTATTATGTATTATTATAATAAGGATGTTTGGGGATTTGATATTTCAAACACAACAGAGATTCTTAAAGCTATTGTGTAGTACTGCCTATGTATCTTATCCATTACTACTGGTGACTATACAAAGCAGACCGAGAGGCATTGCAAGAAGAAAAGTTATCTGCTTAGTTTCAGAATATAGACACTTAATTCTAAAGCTGTCCCTATAATTTCTGAAATAAAACAGGAAATGACAGTATATTATAGCTAGTATAATGATGAACTCCCAAGCAAATGTATAAATGTAATAGCAGGAGGTAGCCATTCAAATGCATGTTGCAACTGATTAGACGTTCTACACCTGTCGTGTTCAACTAATTAAAAACTATCAGTGTTCTACATGAACGGAAATGCTCAGAATTAATTCCAGAAATGAAGCATAGGCATTGAACATTAAAATTACTCACTCTGATGCAGTAAATATCTGGCTGGAGTTGGTGCAGATGGCATTGATGGGGCTGTCATGCCCTTTCAGTTCACTTATGGGTAGAAAAGTATCCACATTCCAGAGTTTCAGAATCCCTCCACGGCACCCACTGAGAAGCACTGGGGAACCGGGCACTAATCCAAGAGCACAAACCCAATCCTTGTGAGCATTAGGAACTTGCTGAAAACAGAGACCAGACAAAATCAGGTTGAGAAACAGTAACATTTATAATCAGGAATGGGCAACTGGTTTGATTTTAAAAACTAAATCAGAAAAATATGAAACTGAAGGCAGTTTGCCCATTTAGGTGTATACGGTTAGATGGTTTTTCGAACACTTTTAGGAACATGATGAATGAGTTATGTTGCACAGAGATTTCTGACAATACTTGAATTTATTAAAATGAGTTGTAGAACAATTAAATCATCTCCTAAACCAACCAATGATTTCCTTAACTTGAGAATGAGATGGAAGTATTGCAACCACTGAGATTAAGGTTTATGCACAGCTATGACAATCGCAAATTTCCCCAAAAGAAATTTTGTCAACATATTTAGCAATATCCATGAATGTGGCATATCCACAGGATCCATGAAGGCAGAGAATATACTTTCAAGGACACAAGTCACCTGTCATCTATTTTAAGTCAGTTTTCCATCTCAAATTTGCAATTCAGGCCAAAGCCAACGTTTTCAGTTTAACGTTTTTGGGTTCTGACACAGGGACACATTTCTAGAACTTTTGCTGGTCCTCCTATCAACATGGAACTTGATAATTTTGAGTATTTGGAGAATTTCAAGAAAGTAGGTGTTTCACAGAGTTCATGTATCTGAATGTCCACTTGATTTTTAACATTACCTGAACCAAATCTTTTTGAGCCAAATCCCATTTTTTAATCCCATTGTCTCTGGATCCGCTAAAAAGATTGTCTCCCATAATAGTAAGAGCCTCAATGCCATCATAATGAGGAGGTTCAAAGTTATGTGTGGGGCTTACAGTTCCAAGAGCTCCTTCAGTTACATCAAACATCTGCAAAACCAATGGCATTGTCAGTGATTTTGACAAGGAATAAATGAAACAAAAATCAGTAAACAAGACCGGACACTCAGTCTGCATTGTGGTACTATACCGTTACACCTACAAAACGGTCATGCTTGGTATAGACAATGTATCATTGCCAATCTATCATTTATTTTAAGAACTTTTGAATTCAGTAAAATGTAGCAGTCTACATGCACACAATATGTCGTTCTCTCTCAAAATCCAGTAAACATTTATTTAAATTCTTGCTGAATTCCAAATGACAGACATTAGCCAAAATCCTTTATCTTAGCATAGTAAATGGCATTGAATCACTGAATCAGTCAACTCCTCCATAAGTTCCATTGATTCCACTGGCCCTACTCTTAACAGTGACTTGCTTTATCACAGTAAGTAGGAGTTAGAGTATGCCAGCTGAATAATGGAACTTACACAAGATTTGATTTACTAAATTACCATTGCTTCAGTGGGCCTACTCTACTACCATTTACTAGGCTAATCAACAGGATTTTGGCCACTCTGTTTTTCAGATAAACGCTGCCATTACAGCCACTTTCCCACTAGCACAGTACAGTATCAAAATGAATGGGTGTCAGGGCTATAATGTTGAACAATTTTCACTTTTCCATCACATGGAATTTTGATTTGTCATTTTATATACACAGTCCTAAGAAGCAACCAATAATCAATGACAAATTTAAAAGTACACCTAAACAATTATGCTGAAATGGAGTATTACAAGACTATTTGCTACTGTTTCTCTATGTGGTCATTACACAACATTATAACGTCTGTACTGTATAATGTGTGTTAATGAGAAGCCAGATGTAACACTCTGACTAATAATATGGCCTCAATCTGATGGCATACTTCCACTGATGGAAGCACTTAGATTAGTATCAGGGTGCTTCCTCACCCTTATAGGCCCTTAAAAACTCCCAAGATCTGCTCTGGAGAAATGGTCCAGCTGATGGTGCAGAGGCCCTAAGTGAGGGAGGAGGAGTCACCCATTCACAGTTCCATTGGTAGCACTGATTCTATCAGTAGAGAAACACTATTATATCCTAGCCTTAAAAAATACCACTTAGTAAATCAATGGCTCTTACTTTCAGTACACCTGCAGGAAAAGGTTCTAAAACTACATCGTATGTTTTATTTAAGAGTGAAAGTTAACACCAGCAAATAACTCATTTGTTTATAGTTTCTAGCATCAAAACAAAATCATAGAAATGATGGGAGATCTTCTGTTTTAAACAATGGGTTTTTATTTTTCATGCACATAGAAAGATAGGTTATTTCTTACTGACCCTCCTAGTTTCCCCCCAAGTATAAAGTACTTAAAAGCTATTTGCAAGTCCCCCCTTCTGGTAGGGATCTTGAACCAGGGCCACACAGGTAACACACAAATAATGCTATCACCTGTAATGCTATCACTCAGCTGGCTCCTCTCCCCTGGAGGCACAGTGGAGTTTCAAACTCCCAACCCCATGTGCTCCAACCCACGGATATAGCACAGTGGAAGCATTACCTTTATATAATGGTCTTTTGATCCAGTAATGATGAGATCTTGCCCGTTAGAAATACTGTCCACAGTAAGGCACATAACAGGGCCCAGATGGCCAGTTAGTTTTCCTGTAGACTGAAATCTAGAAGAACAATATAATCAACCCAGGAATTAAAAAACACTTCAGCTTCAATTATTTAAGTATCCAATATTAATAACCAGTACATATTTCAGAGAACCCAGTGTGGCACAGTGAATATAAGGAATGGACTAGGACTCAGGAGGCCTGAATTTGAATCCACATTGAGTCATGGAAACTCACAGGGAGATATAGAACTATAAAACAATTCCTCAGATGTCTCTCTTGCCTTGAAAACCCTCTTAGGGTTATTGTGAGTCAATATCAAACTTGACAGCACATAAAATGTAGTGATCGGGAAATGAGAAGGCTGCTAGTGTAGGTGATCACCAGGTAATTAAGAAAGCAATTAGTCTTAGAGAGAGAAGTTAAAGAAGTCAGTCACACACAGAGATGTCTGCCGGCAGAGTCCTCCACACACACCACTCCATACACCAACTCTGGGCAACTCCCCCAGGAGTACTCCCTTTTATTAACCTTACAGACTGTTGATAGTATACAGATAGCTGACAGAATTAAGATAGTGTACTGGTTACATAATGCCAATTAGAATAGGCTTAAAAGAGCCTGTGAGGTTAGCTCTCTATCTCTACGAGAAAGAGGAAGGATGGGTAGCCATTCTTTCCTCAGAAGCAGCTGTGTCACATCCACGAGAGTGTGCTCTACACTGAAGAACAGACAGCTTAGCAACCTTGGGATGCCCCCCCCAACAATAAAACATACATTTTTCAGAGGTGGCCTGGATATTAGTACCTGACTCCTACAGATATTTGGGGGTGTTTAACTGGGAATTAAAACATCACTGGAACAGGGTACTGAAACTCAGACACAGCCTTTTACATTTTTTAAAATTTAACCTGTGCCTGCTTCTGAATGATGTGGACAGTGATTAACATTCTTGATTGCACATAAATGTAGCCAAATATCTGATATCACACCTTTTATCACACAGAACTGCAAAGATAACCCTAATTAGGGCATTCTAAAGTAGAAAATACGTTAGAGGGTGGGCAGTCTTGTCGCCCTGACAGCTCTGTTTTCACTCTTTTCATGTGGAAGTGGACAGTCAGAAGCAGACGGTCTACTATATGAGCAGAGAGGCCTGCAGTCTCTGAACTCTGGAATATCACAGGGTAGAAAGCTCTCAATTTAGACTGTCAATTTCCACATGCAGAAACAAAAGGAAGCAGGGTTAAAGCACATTCTTGGTTCTTTGTGTGTTTCCTCCAGTAGCTTGGAACACCCAAATACAGCTTGAAAGGCCAAAGATTCTATCTATGGGACATTCTCAATTTTGTGTCATTTTCTGGTGTCCTGACTAGATCACCCCTACATCTTAATTTAGTCCACCAGCCAACACTGCCACGGCCAGCCAATTTGGGGAGGCGCTGTGTCACACAGCAGACGTGCTGCTAAAACTAGGTAGAGTGCTGGATTGTGTCTGCAACATTATAGAATTTTCCTTCAGACATAACCTGTGGACCAATTATGGCATCATCAGCAACATCTAGGGCTAAAGCAACTCAAATTATCTCTGCAACGCAGGCCCTTCCCCATCTCAACACTGATTCCCAAGAGGGAAACAGCCAAAAATGGAGCGAACAATAGCACAGGCCTTTTTTGAAATGGCTTGGAGGGCCTCTCACATAAACAGGCATGGAAAGAAGCTGCAATGCATCTGTCCCTGTATTACAAATATATAAGGAGACAAGACCCTCAGAGGGTGCCCAAAGTGCCCTATACCAACACAGTCTCCCTACAATCTCAGTCCTGCTATGTGTTACTATGACAGACATGCATTTGCCAAGTGGGATTCCTACAGTGCAAGGTGCAGCCAAAGCAGTTTCTAGGTGCACAGACCCAGGCATTTGCACGCTCGGTATATATCACCTGGAAAGCATTACCTCTTCAGGTCCCACATCCTCACTGCGTTTCCTGCAGCTGCATAGAGAAAAGTGCCAGTTGGATTCAAGGCAATCTGATTTATCTGGTTCTCTCCGGGTGGAATTGTCACGGTTCTGTTGGCACTTGCAGAGCAAGCATCTCCAGGCATCGCCTGGCCCGAAGACCTTCATTTTACAGGAAGAGACAAGCTAAATTTTAATTTACAGTTCCAGAAGAGAAACACGAAAAAACTTCTGCCTAGCAAATGCATTCTGAATGTGGGCAAACCATGGACACTGCGTTTCTTGCTTCAAATGCATTCCAAATACTGGAGAAGTAAAGTTTTCCAGATAAATTTATTTACATACAACATGTATATGTATTGCTCATATTTTTTTCCTAATACTCTAAATAGCTAACTGGAACAAAGTCTGGATGCAGGCACATCCTCTAACTACCTCTTACATCACCGTGGAACCCTGACTTCTCAAAAAAAAAAAAAATCCCCCCCATACCCCACAAAATTACTTTTTCCAGTATTTTTAATAGGAGGGGGAATACTTGTAGGAGTAAGCAAACGCAGTGGGCTAAATGCAGCTGCTGGGCCACATTTTACCCATGTGTTACCTAGGTTAGTCAACTTTGTTTACACTACCTACAGCCTACATATTTTTAATAAATTGCCCACTTAAGATAAGGATGGTTGAAACAGGAACAGCAGCGCATTGCTGTCCTCTTTCCCAGCACAATATATATTAGCCTTGCCATTTCTCTTAAGACTGAAAAATCAAGCAGGTCTTATGGTTTGCCAGGTCAATGGGTTTCAAATGAATGGAAGAAAACTAGATAGTTTCCAGCCTAAACAATTTGGCATTACAGTGGTACCTCGCTAGATGACGACCCCGCTATACGACGAAACCGCATGACAATGACTTTTTGCAATCCCTATAGCCATTCGCAAACCAGCAGTTTTTGCAATCGCTATAGCAATTCGCAACACAGCAGTTCCTACGGGGGAATTCCACTTGATGATGATTTGGTCCGTGCTTCGCGGACCGTTTATTCGCAAAACGATGGTCTTTACCGTTGATTGTCGGGTTCCTAAAATGGCTGCCCTGTCTTTTCCAGACCCATGCTTTGCAGGGCAGCCATTTTAACAGCTGATCGGCGCTCGGAAAATGGCTTCCCTATGGACGATCTTTCCCTACTGGAACGCATTAAATGGGTTTCAATGCATCCCAATGGGGAAAGGCTTTTCGCATGACGACGGTTTCACTTAACAGAAATTTTCCCGGAACGGATTACTGTCATCATGTGGGGCACCACTGTATTTACAATTCTTGCACAATTTGTTTCACAATCTAACCTTTTAAACCCAAATGTTGAAATTGAGCTTTCAAGCTGACAACTTACGTTAGTGTTCGAATACACTTTGCAGAATCACGGATGTCCCACACCTTAATATAAGACGTTGAGACTGTGAAGACCAGGCTGGTATAATTACAGTATTTTATAGATACAACATTGTTGGGATGACCACCCAGAGACATTATTTCTTGCCCAGTTACCAAATTCCACACTTTACAAGTGCGATCTAGAAAAGAACAAGAAAAACACATTCAGACAGTGGACATTTTATTATTCCATGCAACACAGAGATGTGTTTATTGTTCATTCGTTCTGTTTATTAGAAATAGTTGGAAACAAAATCATGAAGTTGTAAACCAGGCAGCAAGAAAATACTACTATTTTAAAAGCCTTCATGGAAAAGAAGGCCTTTGCCAGGAACTGAAAAGATATTAGAAAACATTCCAGGGCACTCGTAGCTGGGTGACAGCACACTGAAAAGGCCTGCTTGTGGTAGTTATTCCCTCTACCTTGGTACATAAAGCAAGAGTTATCCAGATGTTGACTACAACACCCATCACTCTTCACTACTAGCTATGCAGGCTGGGACTGATGGAACTATATTTGCAGGCCCACAACTCGCTCATCTCAATACAAGAAGACATTGAGTAGGAACTCTTATGATGGTAATCAAGATTTATACAGAAATGTATGAGAAGAATCTTCCTGTAGTTCAATCACTCCAAGAAGCAGAGGGCTTGATAGGTTTGAGTTTGGTCTGAAAATCAGCCAAGAGCCAATGAAGATGGCAAAATACTGGAGTAATTCAATCATAACATCAATAGCAACACAAGTTCCACAAAGTTTTCTTGCTGCCATATTTTATACTACCCACAATCTCCCCGGTGGTGGGGAACACAGTTAAATTGCATTTTGGTTTGTATACTTTTTGTTTATGTTTTAGTTAAAATAAAAAAATTAAAAAAATAATAATAATGTTAGTTTGCTAGAGATACATGGTAACACTGTAATACAGACAGCAGACTTATTCAAGGCTTAGGGGCTCCAGTCTTTTACTTAAAAGTCTTGCAAAAATAAAAACAGTTTTATGAAGATTCTATGCCTTGTGTTGCCATTCACATTTAACCAGCATCTATGCTGTAGTTTTCCAGTACTCCTAATCTTCCTCCTTTGACCCCCTACACCAGTTGCAGAACTATACTGTACTCCCACTTTCTTTCATGTAGGATTAATTTGCACAAAGCTTGAGGATAGGTATGGAAGCTTCGTGCTTCATACGAAGCATGAAACACAAACTGGCAAGGAGGCAGGATGGGGAGACCTCCTGCACAGCCGATGGGTGGGTGGTTGACTGCCTGGGGAGGTGGGGAAAGACTGGCTGAACTCCCACTTGGATTGGAATGACACTGCCAAAGAAGGGCCCCAGCAGCATGTGGAGCCTGATAAGTGGACCAAGAGGCCTGAGGGGAGGGAAATGGAACTCAGCACCACCTGTGGTGCCGTGCTTAGTATGAAGCATGAAGCTCCCATCTCTACTTGAGGATTAAACTGCAAGAGTCAAAAGACATCACTGAAAAGGGCCATGACTGGGGAAATGAGAAGCAATAGGATATTTGTAACGTAACCAGCAATTCACATATGCAACCGATACTAACAGTGATCAAGAAACAATTATGTTAGGATCATGAAGGAACATGACAAACCTTTTGACCCAGTGAAGAGCAGATCATCAGTACAATCCACACAAAGCACAGCCTTTGTGTGACCTTCAGCAGTATGGATACATTGAATTGGGGAAGATCGAACACATTTTGAAAATGGGTTGATGATACCTCTGTGTCAAGAAACAAAAGAGCAATATGTAAGTATCACATGGCAGGTCACTTTTTCATGATGCTTCCCTACCCCACCCCAACTTGGTTTTCCGGAACTTTTACACAAAGCTGCAGATTAAGCAGGGAAGGGTGTTGGCTTAATTACAGATAAATTTATGACTCATACATTTTCCTGCCCAGCCAGAGGGAACTGTACAGTACAGTTCATAGGTACTCTACTCCCACCACAAGGAATATCTCAACTACTGATTCTAAAGGTGGCACCAACTCTGACTTTTACAGGAGACTAAGAGCAAGCGCTTTCATTGTTCTGCAAGCACTAAGAAAATGTCTGTAAACGGAACAAATCAGAGGACTTTGTGAGTTATGAAACAAAACTAAAACTGTTGTGCATTCAGTAGCTCAGCCTACTCGCTCACCCAGATCTGCATTCTGTGCTAAGAACTAAACAGTAGGATCGGAATAAGTCATAGTTTTCGGTGCTGAGGCAGGGGCAGGGTAAGAGGTTAGATAGAGAAACACAAACACATTGGCTCTTGATGCCCTATTGCCTTGCAACTTGCCTACACATATTTCACCAGCTTAATTAAGAGTTCCATACTGGGTTCTGCCCTAGCTCCCATGCACAGAAGAAAGCTACTATGCGTGACAGAAAGCAGCTAGCACATCCAAAAGAAGAGATGCTTCATATAAGAACTAAGTTTTAGCCACAATCAACTTACAAATAACATGAAACAGTAACTGGCACAAAGGAGACATTTTGGACATTTTTGCATGCTAAGGGCTTAAGATTCCTTGGGTGGTATCCAATGGTGGTTGAAGGGCTCTTTGACCCACGGCAGGGTTCCCTTAGTTCAGTGGTTGCCAACCTTGGATAATCCAGGTGTTCTTAGACTGCAATTCCCAGAAACCCCTGCAAACACAGCTGATGGTGAAGATCTCTGGAAATTGCAGTCCAAGAATACCTGGGTCACCCAAGGTTGAGAATCCCTGCCTTAGTGGAATAAGGTGCAAGCCGATTTTTGGAGATTCGCCTTCTACACGTTAAATCTCCCACCAGATCTTCTCCAAGCAGTAGAAGGACCCTTTGAAAGAGCATGGAAGGTGGCCTAACAGGCTGCAGAAAGAGTGGGGGAAATCAGTGACTGCAGCCTTCCCTTATACAATAGAAATCTCTGTTATATGAGGCAGTCTTCCAGTAGCAGTGGGGACATCACTGGATACAACTCATCAAGTTTACAACACCCCTCACCCAAAGGCTTCTAATTGGAACAGACATTTCGACCACTCTAGGCGGCTAGAAAGGCTTGCCCAAAGGCTTCTAATTGGAACAGGTATATGATTCAGAAATAATTCTCCTTTTATATCCTATCCTTTTAAAAAGACCCCTTTTAAAGTCAATGAAGGTTTAAATACTGCAGTCAGTTTTGAAGGTTTTTTTAATAGCTGGCAAATTGCATGCCAGACAAAAAGTTGCCGGATGTCTAGGCTAACATAGTGTAAGTTCTGCTAAGTGCTTGCTCTCTTATGAATGTTTGACAGATACTAAGATGAGCATTAATAATTGCATGCTATCAAGTCAATTCTTTAAACAACAAGCCCTGTAAGGGTGCTGTTACAATTGCTATTAAAAACCCTTTGCCCAAAGGGGTCAGGCCTTTGAGAATCATGATGAAAAAGGTCACTCCTCTTTTTTTCCTCATTCAGCTTATGATCAGTCTCTATCTGTCACCTGTGCTCATTAGGATAAAAACACCTTTTTTTTTGCCAGGTTCACTAGAGGTATGAAGAGTAACTAGTTGCATGTGTTTATATGATCGTCAATATGAAAGCATGGGCTACATGTGACTAAACCACTATCATGTGAAGATAAATTAATATTTATTAGATGAACTATGAAGGTATAAATGGCATGTTTCTCATTCTGTGGACTGATCTGGAGAAAATATTTCAAGAACAGTCCCTGTAAGTCTATACACAAGTTAAAGCAAAAGAGAAAAACATCTTTTTATGACTCAGCTGAGGAGGAATGGTAAACTTTTCATTAGGATTCGGAATGGAAATAAATTATTATGAATTAAAAATATAGACAAATGAAAAAATATTGAGTATATACTCAAAAAGCCATTAACTACATATGTAACAAATGTAAATACAGTGGTGCCCCGCAGAGCGACAATAATCTGTTCCGAAAAAATCATCGCTATATGGATTTGTCGCTATGCGGAAGAAAAAGCCCATAGGAATGCATTAAAACCCATTTAATGCATTCCTATGGGCAAAAAACTCACCGTTATGTGAAAATCCTCCATACGGCCGCCATTTTCACTGCCCGGTATGTGAGGAATGGGCGCGAAAACACAGCAGGCGGCCATTTTTTCCAGCGGCCATTTTGGAACCGCCGATCAGCTGTTTTTAAAACATCGCTATGCGAAAATCGGTAAGTGAAACAGCTTACTGATCATCGCAAAGCGATTTTTTGCCATTAAAAAGATCGCAAAAAACAAATCGCTATGCGGATTCTTCGTTAAATGGGGCACTTGTTAAGCAAGGCACCACTGTAGTTAGTCTTAGCCAAAGAAAAGTTGGGAAAAATGTTGGAATCACAGGCAATCTGCAAATTAACCAAAATTAACATTTTGGTTTTCTGGAACTTCATGGCTGTTTTCTAGGTTAATTTCTGAACAGCTGACAAAGAAGCCATGCAATGACTTTGTTAATTCAATTCACTGTACAGCCATCTGTATAAAAATTACTCTAATCGTCCCATTCCTTAACATTTGATGGTGAGGACCTACTTCAAATTCCAGTTTTTACTGCTGTGATATTTTCTAGGATATTCTTTAGGATATAGTTTATACTGTATGTCATCCTACTCATTTTTGTTGTTGTTTAGTCGTTAAGTCATGTCCGACTCTTCGTGACCCCATGGACCACAACACACCATGCCCTTCTGTCTTCCACAGCCTCCCGGAGTTGGGTCAAATTCATGTTGGTAGCTTCAATGAACTGTCCAGCTATCTCGCCCTCTGTCATCCCCTTCTCCTCTTGCCTTCACACTTTCCCAACATCAGGGGCTTTTCCAAGGAGTCTTCTCTTCTCATGAGATGGCCATAGTATTGGAGCCTCAGCTTCAGGATCTGTCCTTCTAGTGAGCACTCAGGGTTGATTTATTTAGAATGGATAGCTTTATTTTCCTTGCAGTCCAGGGGACTCTCAAGAGTCTCCTCCAGCACCACAACTAAAAAGCATCAATTCTTTGGTGGTCAGCTTTCTTTATGGTCCAGCTCTCACTTGCATACATCACTATAGGAAAAACCATAGCTTTGACTATGCAGACCTTTGTCAGCAAGGTGATGTCTCTGCTTTTTAAGATGCTGTCCAGGTTTGCCATCGCTTTCCTTCCAAGAAGCAGACGTCTTTTAATTTCGTGGCTGCTGTCACCACCTTCAGTGATCATGGAGCCCAAAAAAATAAAATCTGTCACTGCCTCCATATCTTCCCCTTCTTTTTGTCAGGAAGTGATGGGATCAATGGCCATGATCTTGGGTTTTTGTTTTTGTTTTTGTTTTTTTTTTGTTTTTGAGCTTCAGGCAGTTTTTTGCACTCTCCTCTTTCACACTCATTAAGAGGTTCTTTAATTCCTCCTCACTTTCTACCATCAGTGTGGTATCATCTGCATATCAGAGGTTGTTGATATTCCCTCAATCTTAATTCGAATTTGGGATTCCTCCAGTCCAGCCTTTCGCACGATATATTCCGCATGTAAGTTAAATAAGCCGGGGGACAATACTCATATGCTGCAATTATCCACAAAGGACGAGCGGACTGCTACCATTCTCTTTGGTATCTGTCACTAGGTGAAAGTCTTTCTGTTTAAGGAAGCCTCCCAAACCTGTAATAACTATAAATGTGGAATATAAAGACTGTATTTTAAAAAGCATTGCTGCCGCTATAGATCTCTGCTTAGAGAAGAAGGAAGTTGTAGAAGAAGTAATGGGATAAAATGGAAGAAACCATGGTGGCTCCTCTAATAATGTCCTTATTTTGCCAAGAGGCATACACCAATATTTTAGTGGCTTTATTGTAGTGACAATGGCAAAAAAAAACCCTGTTGTGGTTACTTTTTTAATACATATTATTGTACTGCTTGGTTATTCTGTGTGGTCATGAGTAAACTGCACAGCCCCAGGATGTCCCCAGAAGAAAGGAATGATAAACAACTTCTGAGTATTCTCTACTTAGAAAACCATTGAAAGGGAATTAGAATCAGCTTGTCAGCACAAAATTAAGCACCTTGGAGGACATACATAGATAGATAAATGTCATAAATAGATGCATGTATAGTCTTTCTATGTCAGAGTGAAAGACTGAAAGCAACATTTCCTTTTATAAAATGTATTGGATATCTCTGGAGGCAGTTCTAGCCTCTTCTCTTAGATACAAAACTGCTTTGCACTCCTCAACATGTGCAGTCCATCAATTTTGACTTATGGCACTGTTTTTTCAGGGTTTTCCAGAAAGAGAATACTCAGAAGTAGTTTACAAATTCCATCTTCTGAGGATGCTCTGGGACTGTGCAGCTTGCCCAAAGTCACATAGGCTGACTCTTCTTCCAGAAGGCACAGTGGGGAATCAAACTCCCAACCTATACCTCCACAGCCAGATTCTTAAACCAATGAACTATCTAGAAATATAGGTAAAATGAAATGTGGGTAATTCAAAATAAGCTTTTTTGAAGAATGGGCCCTAAAGAATGATGGAGTTAACCTCCATTGTCATAGAAGGAGCTTCTGAGTGGGTCTCTACAGCTACTGAAGGATAAAGAGAGAGATTTCAGTGATCAAGTTAAGATTTAGGTTGAAAATTTAATGTAGTCTAATGAGTAGGTATGGTACGAAGGGAAAGCAGGAGAAAAGAAACTAAATCAAATGCAGGTTAAGGGGGAAGTACTAATTGTTAAGCATAATATTTGAGAAATGCAACTGAGACTGTTAGTCAAGAAAAGAATATTATTATAGTAAAATTATTAAGAGGGATATTTTGTCTTCTTAAAGCAGTAAAAAAAAACCCACAACTACTACAACCAGATACTCCTTACCAATTCAAGGCCTATACCCTTTTTGTGTCTGCAGAGCTAAAGCTGTGGAATCAGCTCTGGCTATTTGATAAGCTGATGGTCACACAACCAACACTTTACCAAATAAGTGTGGTCCCCTCCACAGTTTTAAGTTCCATGTAGAAATGGGGATGACTCACCATTTTTGGTGAGTCGTCCTATTTCGTGAGTCATCAAAAGTTGACGACTCACAAAGCACGAAGCTGCCCCCATGAACCAACGAAGCACGAATTCCTTAAGGCAGGCTAAGGGAATCCAGGCTGCCCTTTGTAAAAATGACAGCTGCAGCTTGCCTACCCTAAATGAAGCTGCAGCCGCCATCTTTGCAAAGGGCAGCCATTGTCCCTTTCCACAAGCCACGGCTGCAGAAGCCTGCTGGAGATGGTGGCAGGGGCAATTATGGGGGTGGGGCATCAGGGGGGGTGGGGGTGGCGGCAACAGGGTGGCGTGGCAGGGGGTGATGACTAAGGTAGAGAGAGGAAGGGGCGGGGATAGGCTGTGTAGGTGGGTGGCTGCCTATCATCCCACTGATCAGCTGATTGGCGGGCTAGTAAGTAGAACGGGAAAGCCACAGGAAGAGAGGGAAGGCTAGCCCTTTCTTCGTATGGGTGATGAATAAAAATGGGGCAATATTCGTCCCTTCGTATTTATCAGGGTCTCTGGAACCCACAAATATGAAGGAATGAGTATTTAATGAATCAGCGATTTCTGATGAATATTGTGACCAATTTTTTATTTGTCCCCACGTCTAGTTCCACGTGCAATAAAATCCAAGAGAATTGTGGCCCCGCAGTTTAAATATGGGAGAAAATGATTTCTCCCTATCTTTTTCAAACCCATGCATTTCAAGTACAAATAAAGTCTTGCAGAGACAGCAGCCTATTTTTTGTTTTGTTTTAAGCAGATGGATCACGTAGAGTGGGAGACATGTATCAAAAGTAAACGCAAGAATCCAGCACTTCAGGAGAAGCTTCTCGTGGCATCGCAGACGAACATGAATTTAATCCTTTGAGAAGGCATTTTATAGGTTAGATTACCAATTTTTAAAGTAAAACCAAGTTTTTAAATATTCCCCTGAAAATAAGCAATAGCAATAGCTATATTAACTGATGTTTGCCAGAATCTGTAAGCAAATGTATGCACTCAACACATGTACTGTACAGGCATTCTGAACATATGGAGTGTCCCCGCTTTCCAAAAGATGAAGTGTATGTGCCAGAAGATTCACAGGCAGAGGAGTTTCAGGTGCCTTTCAAAGCTCCTACATTTTTCACCCCTTCCTTTACTTGCCACATACTCAGCTGTTTTTCTATATTCCTAAATTCTAGCCTCATTTATGATAGTGTGCAAGTATGAGAGAACATATTCCTATACAATATTCAAAATACAGGAATGAAAAATACTAGAACATTTACTGTTGTTTGCGCTAATGACATAAGTCCCAAACAGATCTGCCACAGGGCATCTCCAGTGGAGACACACAACTGTGAATCACAACACAACAGATATGTGCAATCAAAACACTGACTTTACCACACAGTTCAGTAAAGCTTTTTGCTACTAGCAAAGCAGACTGACCCCTCCCAAAAAAAGAACCCCATCAATTCATCCACTCCAAGATCAAGTTTGTTGTGGATTTATTTAACATGCCAAAAAAAAAGCAGAAACATGCTGGGGGTTTGTGTGTGTCGAAACAGGAGTATTACCCAAGGAACATTTGTCCAATATATATATTTTAAAAGTGAACATGCTGGACAAATTAAAAAAAACACAAAACGACAACAACAAATCAAGCATTGTAAGCTTACATTTTTTTAAAATGGAATAGTGCAAGGAATCTATTGATGTGCTGGGGAATATTGATTTTTTTAAAAGAGGGGCATGCAAAGTTAGTTCACTTAAGAATGGCAGAAAAGGTGTCAAGCATATTACTAAGAATCCAGAAGATGAAAAGGAGGAAGAGAGAGTACCTGTGTACCTCCGACAGAGAGGAATCACTTTCATCAGACCTATAATGAACAGTGGTGGAGTTACGGAGAAAGAATACAGGTATCAGCAGAGCAGTTTCCATTGAAAGAGGACGAGGAAGAATGAACAGTAGCTTTGCTACATAAAGAAGCAATGCCAGTTTGCAGACTGTATCCAAAAAGGCCTTCTCAGGTTTAGTAATTTCAAAGAATAAGCTTCAAATATTATTTTTATTTTTATCTGGAGAAGTATCTTGTTTACATTAGTTTAAAGATACTTGTGCAAACTGTTTCTAGTTTATTTGACATTTCTTAGAGAATTTGATGTGGATGGGTGGGGGAAATATTTAGTCTGCAATGTGGCTTCTTCCTTTTATGTTAATTTGTACATGCATTGCAAAAAAAAGCAGGGAGAACTAACGTGCTAGTATCTGTTTTGGAACAATGTTCAAAATCATGATTATTTAATTTAAAACAAATACATTAGCCTTGTTTTTAACAGAACAAAGTCCTGATCATATAATTTCTGTTTGCAACTACTTAAATACTGATCAATTTCAAATGAGGTTTTAATGATTAAGAACACTCCACTCTTCATTTTCATAGCAAATCAAACATGCTAAGCCATCTGAATTTAATTTGGGGTTACAAAGCTCACAGCACAGAAACAGCCTTTACAAGTCAGTATATCCAATAAGGGCAGACACAGCTACAGAAAAGCAACACTCCTTTTAGATGGTATAAAATAGCCGCAAGCACAAGCTTGAACCGCTGGAAAGCTTGCAAAAAACTGTTAGGGAAATGTGTAGTAATTGAAGGTTGCAGGAAAAACATTACATCAAAATAGCTGAGAGACATCAGAAACTGGAGAAAAGAACCATCAGCCTGCAATACCACCACCAAAAGTCCTACAATAAAGATTCTGGATAAACTCAAACTTGTTATCATTTTTCAAACACAGCTGAACCAAAACCTGAGATTTTTACTAATCATATCATAAAAACTAAATATACAATCTGTGGGTGAATCAGACTGCCAACTCCCTATAAATCTATTTATGTAGTGAAAAATTGGCCTTACGCTGCTTAACAACTCGAAGTACTGCTCTAGAGACTTGAGAAGACAAGGTAGGAAAACAGATTACTTAGAGGTTTAAACAACTTCCTGACCCCCAGGGGTTGTTCCTGCCATACTTGAGATCTGGCCCCTCCAGATCTCTTCCAACCCCATCTCATTTCTGCCTTATACTCAAAATGGCCACTGGTGTCCTCTAGGAATTATTAACTTCTCCCTGTTTTGGTTACCACAGATCTGATTTCCACCATTTCTTCCCCTTCCAAAACTGGGACCAGAACTCAATTTCTACTTTTCCACCACCCCAGGCCTATAAGGTCTGACTGGCCTTTAATTTCAGGCCCTAGAAGATCCAATTGGCCTTTTTTGAGTATAAAATGAAAACTGGAAGTAGGGGCATGGAGAAACTGAGGGGGCTCTGCACTCCACTGTGAGGGCTCATGAAGGCTACAGACCACACTTTGCTCACTCCAGGTTAGAGAAACATGTAGCATAAGAAGCAAGTTTCAGCAGGACATGGAATTTATAAACCTAAGGCAATTCCACATCATTTTGAAGGTGGCTGGGAAAGGAGCACAGCAAGAGAGACAACAATTATATTTTTCACCTCTGGCAAGGGAGTGCCAGAGTTTAGAAGCTCTGTTTCAGTCTTATGTGTACTTTTGACACATCCACAAAACGGTGGGAGTCTGGGACTTTCCTTTGTGACTTACTTATCCTGCTGAACTGATGTGTTTCCCTGGGAAACAGTAAGACGACTAAAAACATTCAGTTCATTACGGGGCCGGCCTGGTGGGGAGGAAGGAGGTGAGAGACTAGCCTCTGAGGTTCCAGAATCTGAGCTATAAGAAAAAAATTAAACATTAAAAGCCTCTTCCATTAAAAAAAATTCAATGAAATTGTTAGAGAGGTTAAAATGAATGACACATGCCTTGGAGTAACTTATGGATGCCAGTTGCTTAATCTGAGAATGCAATTTGCATGCTACCCTGGCAGAACATAAATATTGTGCAGTAATAAAAGGCTGCTGGCCACAAGATGGCAGTATATTCAAAGTTCTTTTTTTTTAATTAAGAGTATAGAGACACATAGAAAAAGGCAGTGTAATCTGAAGAGTTCAAGTAACAGATTTCTGTCTTCAGTGATTTGCAGAAGCATTTAAAAATAATAATTATTAAATGTAAACAATGTTTCTACACTGGTTTCCAATGTGGCACTGAATCAGGTAAAGAAAAGTATCACTACAGCTACCTGAAATGAAGTGCAATTACTTCCATATATATATATATGAATATAGTATCTTACTGCTTTTGCTCCTTCGACTTTGGCTTATCTGGAGATTTTTCATAACTTTTCCTCTTTGATACAGGTGAGGGTTCTGGAATTTTCTTTTCTGTCAGGGATGACTGTCTAGACCTGAGACAAAAGGAAAAAGAACTTTTAAGGATTTGTTCATCTTTTGCCTGCACATGCATTTCTTCAGTCAGTGGCAAACAGCAATAGAAGCCAATAAAAAATGAGCAAATATGCATTCGTCACTTGAGGACTGCAACATTGAGTTCATAATATCAAACAGTTCATAAATGTATTCGTGAAGGCTTTCACGGCCGGGATCTAATGGTTGTTGTAGGTTTTTTTGGGCTCTTTGGACGTGTTCTAAAGGTTATTCTTCCTAGCGTTTCGCCAGTCTCTGTGGCCGGCATCTTTAGAGGATAGAACTCTGTCCTCTGAAGATGCCGGCCACTGAGACTGGCGAAATGTTAGGAAGAACAACCTTCAGAACACGGCCAAAGAGCCTGAAAAACCCACAACCAGTTCATAAATGAGTTCATAATATCAAACTTCTCAATCCCATGATTTCAGTGGAAGCATGGTGTACATTCAGCTAGAACTCAGACAAGATTCCTGTATACATTGCATATCATTAGGTATCTGAATGTATTCAAGTGTGAACCGAATGGAGGAACTTGAAGAGACACTTGTCAATATGAAAACATTCTTCAGGAAAAGTCAAAAACACTCATGCTTCAGCATCTTTGTGTCCAGGCTCATCAACCCAAGCAAGACACAGATTACAAATGGCATCATACAAGCATGCCCCCAGAACCTCATTTGTGTGGGATTCTACCTCTCCCAAAGCTCAGAAGACCAATTTGTGGTGGAGAAGAAGTGGGCTCCCCATCCACCGGTTTAACACGGGAACTCTCATATCTTCCATGACATAATGGTAGTGTGGCACAGTGCTAAATTTTAACATGCAGGCACTCATTCTGACAACTCTTAACAGAACAGCTGCCTGTGTTTCTGGATCTGACAGAGTCTAAAAATACAAGCAGTTGTATTGATTGATGTCAATAAACCAGTCCTGACCATTCTCGTTTCCACCCAAAGCAGGTCTTTTGTAAACTCATCGATTTTAATTGCCCATTCAGGGCCACGCCATTTTAAAATACTTCGCAATTCAACCACAGCTACTCATGGCAATATGCTGTTGCTGGGAAAATCCACTCGCTCCTCATGGACCAGACATCTAAGAAAATGGAGGAAAAACTCTTGTGCCACTGCCATTCCGAGGTCACTAAACTGAACAGAATGATGCCCCTAATTTTACAGAAAGGCATAAGAGGAAGAACAACCTTCAGAACACGATAATGCTTTGTGAGGCAAGAACATATAATCTGCTAAGTCTACAAGCCTGAACGATGCAGTGCAGGAAAAAGGTTTTCCCCACCTATAATAATCTTAGAGGCAGTGGAAGATAGGAGGGCCTGGCGTGCTCTGGTCCATGGGGTCACGAAGAGTCGGACACGGCTGAACGACTAGACGAAACTAATAATCTTAGAACTGCATACTGTAGCTGGAAGGGACCCTATGGATCACTGAGATCAGCCTCTGCCAAGGAGGCCCAGTGGGGAAGAATCAAACTCCCAACCGCAGGCCACCTGATAGAGCTAATTCCAAGAAGCAGCTTCCTTTTCATCTACAGTACTTATATACTGCCCTGGTCCTGCTTCCTGTGGATTTGACAGATCTCCTCAGGCTAAGCAGACATGTGTCAGGCTAATTAGATTGTTTTCTTCCTGGGGCTTTCACATTAAGGCCAGCCTAGATGTCACTAGGCAACCACACCTGAAGTTTAAGAGCATTAATATTGGGACACAAGAGAACAAAGTCTTTATTAACCTCAGACCAAAAGGGGGGGGAGAGTGTTTGCTTTCTTCCTAGCTGAGTTCCTGACTGCCCCCCAGCAGCCCTTCCCCCATGAAGCATTTAGCATTTCTGTCTTCAGTGATTTGCAGAAGCATGTAAAAATAATAATGAATAAGGTTCCTATTGGCACCAAGAAGTTCCACCATTAAAACTAACAACTGCCTAAGAGAAAAGACACATATTAATAAGTATTAGAGCTGAGAATGGAAAGGTTAAATCCGTTGGGTGAATATATACACACAGATAGGTAGATCGATACACACATAGAGAGAAAGACAGACAGACATGGTTGTAAAGCAAACATTAAAAATAATTTTTACCCCTAGGTGAAAAATATAACGCATTCTGTGCACATGGGAACAATGTGGCTGTCCTCAGGGATCTACAGACAAAGACTGGTTTCTATCATTATTCTCTTATCTCTTCCCAGCTATCCATGTCCTGTTTTTTAAAAACATCTCTGGGGAAAACTACGAAATTGAACTTTTACAGACATCAACAGGACCTGCTTTTAAACAAGTACCTTTTTCATTCTATTAGTCACATTATTATTATTATTTTATCATAATGAGGCGTTGACTGAGTTTTATCTGGTGTACCTGCACGAGGCGTAGTGAGGAAAACAAGCAGTTCCCACTAAACAGGAAAAAAAGATGGAACAAAAGCAAACAATGGCACGAAGAGGCTGAAAAATAAATCCCACCACAGCTCTGTATTTAGAGTTCTCAATGATTATCCTGCTCTTATTCATTTTTACTCCAACCTTTCTCCCATTTTAATTTTCCCATTTAGACTGTGATGTAGTTAGAGGTTATGAGAAAGGTCTAACACTTCCTTCACATACCATCACAACCCACACCAAGTTGCCCTGTTCTGAGCTGAGCTAGTAGCAGTGGTGGTGATTTGGATTAGGACAACAATGCACAGGGTAAGAGCCATACCCAGCCCATAGCCTTATTCTTAATCACACCCCGGGTGGCTGCTTCCAAGAAGTTTAATTTACACTGAGAGTTGCAATGTGATGTCTAGTTTGGCCAACAGGGCCTATCTACTGATTTTTGTGTTATATCCTGTCTGGGGCTTTCTGCCCGTGTATCACTTGCTTGTTTATTTGACAAGCAAGCGGAAGTGGGGGTAGGACAGAGGGGATGGGGAGAAATCTCCAAAATAACATGATTTCCAATGAAGTACAACAGGACCCTGCATATCTACACTGAATGCCTGAAACAGTGTATAATAATGAACCCTATATAGAACATGCAAAAAGGTGGGGCAAAGGCCACAAGGGAGTGGGACAAAGGCCCCTTGTATGTTGTATATAGGGCTGCGGTAAGCTGTAGATTACCGAAACTGTAGAAATCAATCTCATGGATAGGTAGGTCCTACTATAATATTCAAATTCCCAGATCCTACTAGTGTGCCAGATTGTCAATGACCCACAGAGAAGCCCCTGCAGCATATAACCTCTTTATTGAACCCTAAGGGCCATTTCATTTTTATATGAGGCTTCTGCAGCATGGTGCTTTCTAGACATTCTGTATCCTAAATCCCATGAGCACCAGGCTTTATGACTAATAAACAGGGAAGATGCAACTGTAGCCCAAAACATACCACAGATAGCAGTCTGCTTTTGTAAATTAGATAGCCTTTGGGTGTGACATATGAGTTTCTGAAAGGACACATAAATTCATTTGGCTTAATTTACAAGCACTCTAAGGAAAAAAGATCCACCGAACAGACAAATTTTTTGTCCCAATTTCTAATGCTTATGTAGTATTTAAGTTTGGTTTCGGTATTCTCATCAAAAAGCATCTCTATCTGCCAATTACACAGTGAATAAAAATCTATGATTTTTTACAATCAATTTGATCTAAATCATGATTTAAATCAAACATTCATTCAAAAATCTGATGTAAAAAATTAAATCATGGTTTAAATTGTTATTTAAATCAATTTAATTAAAATGAAATCCACCCAGTTGACTTCAAAATTCAGTCAAACTTCAATCTTTTTCATATAGTTTCTGGATCTATCTTTATTGTATCAGAGCATTTAGTTAACAGTTCTCTCAGCTCATGTGAGCTAATAAGGAGGCAGCATTCCAAAAGCCTAGGAAAAGCCTTTGTACAGCCTACTGGAGCTGCAGGTAGCTACAGATGCCATGGTAGTCTGATATTAGCATCATATAATCTTTTAATGATATTTTCTCGGGGCTGCCTCATATCCCCTCCTTTCATCTTCCTACTTTATTTTGAAGTCTGTTAAGTGAGTTCTGGATACAAAATTACTGATCAGACAATGTTGGGCTAAGAAATGACTCACAGAGACTACATAAAGAAACTTTGGCTCTTTTCAATCAGAAAGTTTTTCTGGTTTACTTCTCAGATGCTTGGAAACACTCCTGAATGGTGTCCTGTGCTAACAACTAAATTAGACAATTTCCTGACATCCTAAAAATTAGTCACAACATGGAGGTGCACCCAATCATGGCTCCCTGTTGAGTGGACACAAGTGCACATGAATGATACAAGATATTTGATACACCTGAAATGTTTCGTTATGCATCTGAAGGTGTACACATTAAAACAAAATAAGCTGAATTGTGACTTAGACTTCTATAGAGATGATTATTTGAAATCAGCTGAAAATTAATTAAGTGAAAGTTAGTCATGGCTTATTTGTTCCATGGATTTCACAGTGCCCTCTGTAATTCTGATGAATTTTAGATTCAATCCCATATATGAAGTTGTTGCTAGGAAGCCAGCAAGCCAAACTATTCAGAAAAATAAAACTAGGTAAACCTTACACTAGAAAAAAAGTGAACCAATATATTAACATTCAAAATAATGTTGCTTGACTGGCAGGTTTACAAATAATCTCAGCTTTAGAAACTGCAGGAAACAATTACCTGAATACGGGATTCCATGTCAGACACCTGATTTTGTTTGTTTTAAGTCGTTGAATTTTCAGAAACATTGTAGAACGACAAGCAGGTTTTCAGCCTATGCTCACTATCGTTTTACATGGTCAAAAGCATTCTTTCAGAGAGTGCTTGCAAAAGCATTGAAGCCAAGAATATGAAATAAATACCACCTGTCAGGGTATTTGTATTAGTTATTTTACTGTCACAAACAACATGCATGAAAAATGTGATGTTAGTAGAATTCATTGAGCTACTGTGAAAAAATTATTTTATTGTAGTAGATGGATTATCCAGGGAATTACACATACATATTAACACTTACGTTTACAAGCAGTTCAAGCAAAATGCAACAAATCTAGCTAAATTACCAAATTATATCTGAGACACATGGTACATAGCACCTACTAAGTTCTGTAGCACTTTACATTAATTTCAGTGTGTGACATAGGAATAACTTTCCTGCTGAAATAGAAAAGCTGCTCCCTCATTACTAATGCCAACAGGATTAAAACGTGCTCCTATTTGGAAAGTGACTGACATGGTTCAAGACTGTTTACCTCAGCTCTGTCAGCCTCACCTTTGCCCTTCTGCTTTATGAAACACACGCCTGCAGCTAAAATGGAACACAGCTGCAGACTAAAAAATGCTTTAATGACATATATCAAAGAAGACCACGTCAATCAATCAACTCTATTTAAAGCATTTAAAGTGCACTTTAAAACAATTGCTCAATATTATTGGAATGTACAATTTTTTTAAAAAAATCATATTTATGTTTTATTATGTTTTATTTGGACTTTATGGACCATTTGTTCTTCCTTTTAACATTGATCCAAAACTGGGATTTCCAGTGTATGAACTGTTTGTACACACAAACAAAAATTCCCTCAAAAACAAAAACAAACAAAACTCCTAAAGGTAGCTAAAAAAATCAGAAGAATACGAATATCTACATATATTGATTATCGCACAGTACAAGTTGGAGGACAATGAGGAAAAAATATCCCTGATTAGAGTGACATCTCCTGTTTTCTTAAGCTTTAACAGAGTTCAAGAAATTAGCAACATGCATGTTAAGAAGCCAAACAGACGTTAGTGCATTGTGCAAAACTTACATGCTGCCAGTCTTAGAAGGCAAGCCTGTTTGTGGGGGAATGACCTCTCTATCCCTAGCAGGAGACTCTTTCATGTCAACACTCATTCCACCTTCCTGAGCTTCTGCAAGAGAGGCAAGAGGGCCAGCCAAAGCTGTGTCTGCTGTACTGATATCGGAGGTTAAGTCACTGCTATCGGCATAAAGCAATTCCATCTGGGTTGTGGTCCTGCGGCGTGCCTGGAACAAATTGGGAAGAGTGGGAATAAAACCTTGTAAGTGAATCAGCCTTATTCAGTATTTGCGGTGTCTACACCCTCAGTTTGCCTGTAACAAGGTTAATGGGGTGCATGTGACTTCCTCTCTCTGCCCTTTATCCTCACAGGGATCTTGTGGTCAGGCTGAGTGAGAGTGTCACTACTAGGGTTTCATGGCTAAGCAAGTATTTGGCCAAGATCTCTGGAAACCTACACTCTTAACCACTGCATTACTTTACGGTGACTTTCTACAATTGTACAGCAGCAATTTGCCTCTGGGGAATAGCTCTTTACCATGTAGACTTCTGAATTTTTCCCAGTTGAGAGCTAAAGGGCAAGAGGCAAGCAATGGGACAGTTTCAATAGATTAGAGGAGTGGACAACCTTGCAATGACATGCTGAGCAATTCTTGACAGGTGGGAAATGCGAAGGGCAATTGCCCTAATTCTAGGGCGCCACTTCTCAACCCCTGTTGCAACATCTAACACACCTGGATCCTACTGCCTGCCCCCAGCAATCCAGCCAGCTACCAATAGAAAAAATATTATTGGCAGAGGCAGTCAATATCCCATGAGTCCACAAACAAAGAAAAGCCACAGAACTGGGTGCAAGGCACAGTATTCCCTCCCTAGAGGATCTCAACTGTTAACTTAAAATTGTTGTGCCACAACAGCTGCTTTATTTTTGCTTTTGTTGGTGCTTTTTTAAAACTAACAAACATTCTACTATATGCTCTCTCTCCAACCTGTGTGATTTATCAGTTCTGCTCTGGCCCAGTCTTGTTTATAATCAGACTGGCAGAGAGATTATTTCTAGATAGAATGCAAAGGAGCAATCTCAAAGTTTCAGCTCACTTTAGAGGCATGAGGGACTGCATAATGCCCTTGTACCCAAGGTTCAGGGTCACCCTGTGCTTTGGGGGTTAGATATTTCCAAGATCATTTCAGCCTGGAAACAACCCTTCCTAGAAATGGCCAAAAGTCCTCTCCCCTGCCCACTTCCCATCAAACGTCTCTCCCATCTAATCACTGGCCTGGAACAGCGGCAGTATATCTGCAGCAAGCAATGAGGGAGAAAATGGAGATAAGTCTCCTCCATCCTCCCTGTTCTGGCAAGGGCCACACTCTGGCCACAGGCAGCAACAGAAATGTATCTGTTCCCTCCTTTCTCCCACATCAGACCTCCAGAGACTCAGAGAGAAGATATAGTTTTCCTGGTAGTCACTGCAGGCGAACGTTTATCAGAAGGAAGCAGCAGAGGACCCACACCTGTAATGATGCATTATTAATCTTGAAAATGTAAGACTTGATGAAATGATACTTAAATTTGAACAAATGTATTGAAGATTCCACAGCTATGAAAAATGCCACTATATCACCATCCACAGAACCTACCTTATTTTTAGGCTTCACTTCACCACAAAGCTTCATGAGGTCGGAAGACAAAGAACTGAAAAGAAAGTTGCAATTTAGTGAGAACCTCTTATAGAAACAAGGGCCAAAATCCTATTAGTTATTTACTCTGGAATAAATTCACCGGCATAAACTGCAGCAACAAACTGGTTAACAAGGGATATAAATGGCAACTTGCTAACTAATGCCAATTCCCTGCTGAAATTCATTCCACTGTATTAATTTGGAAAGTCTAACAGCAAAAACAGGTATAACTCTTTACCAGTGAGGTCAGGGTTCATGCCTGCATATACATGATCTAATGCCTCCCTCCAAACCATGCAGCTTTCTTCAAATTACAGTGGTGCCCTACTAGACGCTTATCCTGGTAGACAACGAAATCGCTTCATGATGAGTATTTTGTGATCGCTACTGTGATCACAAAACGGTGCTTAGATGGGGAAAATCCATTTGACGACAATCGTTTCCCTGCTTCGGGAACCAATTTTTCTCTTTACAACTATCAGAACAGCTGATCGTCGGGTTTCAAAATGGTTGCCCGCTGTTTCAAAATGCCCCCCCGTGTTTCCTCGTTTTACAGGCACTGGAAAATGGCCGCCCTATGGAGGATTTTCGTTTTACGATGAGGTATTTCACCCACTGGAACGTACTGAGCAGTTTCCAGTGCATTTCAATGGACTTTTTACTTTCGCTTGACGACGATTTTGTTCTACAGCGATTTGGCTGGAACGGATTATCGTCATCAAGCGGGGCACCACTGTATTGAGCTTGCGTACTACCGAACTTTTGAGGTGACAACAGTTGATATAGGCATTCACACATGCAAGGTTTCAACTGATAACACTGTCGACCAGTGACACGTGTTCATATGTGATCTAATGGTCCCAGATTTTGGGTTAATTTACAGAAGATATTTTCCTCAAAAGAGCCAGATAAAGGCTTGGGTTGCCTCAGGAAGTCTACAGAAACAGCCACTAAACGAGAGAGGCCAGCTTGTGGTACTGTTTCACTCAGATACCTGAAAGACCCAAATAAAGCCAGGCCTCCCCATAGGAAGATGAAGGGCTTGAACCAAACAGTGTTCTTAGTAGTTAAAGAGAAAGATCAATAGGCCTCTCCCAGACAGCTTCTTCTCTACATCAGCATAAGCTCTTGATCTCATTCCTCCATCTGCTTAGAAGGTGCTGGGAAAGGTTACACTTTTTAATGCTAAGATTTAACAATAACCATTTTTAAAAATAGCCATGGGCAAACATTTCACACTGACTCTCACCTTCCTTCAGCTCCTGGACTGTTCAAAGGAGCATCTTCATCAGTACTATCTTCCACGTTTTCTGGAAAATTGCCAAAGTCATTGTTTTGTCAGCCAATTAATTCATATACAATATCCTATCTACCACAAAGGCTGCTGCTACCCAAAGTGCAAATCACATACAGTACTTTGTTTTCCCTATGCAAACATTTACACATTTTGTCCATTTTTACTTTGCTTTAAATTAAATTCAACTAAATTTGAGTGATGTCGTTTCCCACAACATCCTGAATACACGCATTTAGCTTCTTTATCCTTTCCACATATTTTCAGCCTTAGGAGGAACATCTAGTATCTTAACATGGTATCCAGAATTCTGTTCATGCAAGGTTTGATTGGCTTGTCCTGGCTAATTTTAGCCAAGCAATAAGATGCTGGGATGTGTCTCATTTGCGTAACTGGGCACATGGCCAGGCATGGAACTCAGACACTGTCCAGCACCTCATCAATTAGCAATGATTAGCCATGGCAATTTACACAAACTTAGCACAGATACCAGCAGGATTCTGGCCATTGCACTGAGGAGAAAATTATAAATACATCATCATTATGTTACATGTTTTCAAGTCAAAACTGACTTATAGCAGTCCTAACAGGTATTTCAAGGTGAGACATTTAAAGAGTCATTTTACCAGTTCTACACAACCCAACAAGTTTCCGTGGCTGAACAGGCATCTGAACTTAAGTCTCTTGAATGCTGTCCTGTTATTTACACTACAGTACATATCAAGTACAGCACTAAAAAACATAATGGCCCACATCCTGTTGCTTACCTTAGTAAATCACACTAAAATAGGCTCACTAAAATCAATGGAGATTCAGCGAGTGAATTCCACTGTAAGTTCCATTGATTTAAATGGGCCTACTCAAAGTGTGACTTATACTAATGTAAGTGACAGTTAGAGTAGGCCCACTTAAATCAATGGAGCTTATGGAGTTGACCAATAAATCCCCATTGATTCAATGGCCCTACTCAAGTGTGATTTATTATGCCAAGCAACAGGATTTCAGCCAATATGCCCTATGTAGACATATGATATTCTTGTACATCTCAGTTAGAGTAGGCCCACTTAAATCAATGGAGCTTATGGAGTTGACCAATAAATCCCCATTGATTCAATGGCCCTACTCAAGTGTGATTTATTATGCCAAGCAACAGGATTTCAGCCAATATGCCCTATGTAGACATATGATATTCTTGTACATCTTTATTTCCATTACTGATCATAATGAATAGTGAGCAAAACATGAGTGGGATGGGGCTGTATTTTGCATTTATCTACCTTATATGTTAAATTCTGCAGTCCATAACTATGTTGGTGCACTTTATTAGCAAGCAACAACTTACAAAGCACAGTTATTTCACTATGCTACATTTACACGTTAGCTGTCTAAAGAGATACAGCATCTATGAAAGAAATGGGAAGGAAGTGAAGCTAAACAGATGAAATGGAACTTGCAGTAAATGATGGCAACTGTAGGCATTTGCTCACACAAGTGAAACACGCTTGCTTGCATGCTTGTCAGTCACTGCCACAGGACATCATACACATGTCTGCATGCAGGGAAATGCCAGATGGATAAGTCCATAGTAAAAAATATGTGGCTGTCACTGAAAGTACCCAAAGTTTAACTGAGAAACACATAAGTAAAATACAAGGGGAAAGGAAATCAACAGATAATCATGATATCCTGAAGTACTCTGGAGCTACCACACTGTGTTTTAACTTAGTTTAAGCCAGTGTCCACTTGGCAAACCATATAAAAAGAGTGTCAGGTCACACCAGCCTTACTACATGGACTAAACCCAACACAGACATAGAGAGATCTTTTTTTTCAAAACTATTAAGGGTGGGGTAAGGAATACAGAAGGTAAAGGGCAATGGCGGAAAAAGGGTTTTGAGGATAAGAGAACATCAAATATATAATCGTTCAATCTCTTCATATTAAGAATATAAGCATATAATCAATTCATATTCCAGTAAAAGCTCATCTTTCTAGTTCTTTTTTTAAAAAACTATTTACCCCCCTAGCTTTCAACTTACAATTATATTATAGCTTAAATCTAAGTTATTCCAACACCATCAGAACACCAAGACCAGTTGTAAGATACATCCCCTTTCACCCTCCTTTTGTCTTAGAAATACGCTCGACAGGCCTGACATAGTATACATTCCATTCACTTCTCCCATTTTCTCCATGTACTTCTTTTGTTTCTGTGACAAAAAGATACGGATTTCTTCCGTATTTTGAAAGGGGAAACAGCATCTAAAGCAATAGTTCGATTTTTAACCTCAGTTTTTCTGGCTTTTTTTTTCTGGCCAGAAAAGACATAGAGAGATCTTGAACTATATTATGTATTACTACTGTTTTTATTTTATAATATTGTTTTTACTTTTACCTATTATTGTTAGCCACCCAGAGCAGACTTTGGTCTAGATGGGAGGAATATAATTAAATTAAATTAAATTAAATAAATCTGGAAGTGGAAGCAACAGCAGCCCAAGACATTTTGACAAAGCCTCACTTATGCCCTGCCCTTGTGCTTGAGCCAACATTTGACAACCACTTCTATCTTTATCTGTGCCTCCTTCTCACAATGACCCCTCAAGTCATGCCATGTTCCAGCGCTCTCTGCTACCACCTACTGGATTAAAAGTCATTAGAACACTCTGGCATTATCAGTGAAGGACGTTTTGTCCTTGATGAGAGCTCTAACTGGGATACCAAATGAAATTCTGCCAACTTCCAATCTCCAGCTATCTAATTTCCTTTGAGGAATAATGTACTCTCAGTAATTTGGCTAAGACAATAAAGTCTTATCACTGACTGCAATAAAATTACCTAGAATCTCAATTTGCTGTATTATAAAATACAGTTTCACTTAACTGTGTGAAAAGTTATAGCACTGTAGTCAAGGAAACGGAAAAGTAAGACGGTTCTAACCTTGTAAGTGTGAACTAACTGAATCCTATCAGGCCAACAAAGTTACATGTCACATGGCTGCAAAAAATCCACACTACAAGCTAGTCATTGGCTCACACTGCCAATGGGCAGATGCAAGAAGAGGGTTCTGTGTTTCCTTTGTGTTTTTCTTGGATAACAAGTTCAAAATAGTTTCTTCCCCATGAAGTTGTGCATTGTGGCATTCATTTTTTGGATGCATGCATGCCTGTTTCCTTTAACGGAAATTTGGCATCTGAATGCCTTAAATAAACAAGCTTAATGAAATGTAATTTAAAAATATAACTTGAAGTGGTAAAATATGTTTTACATGCCCAATCATCAAACCTTGCTTCCCTCTCCAATTCTCCACAGCCATTCCCTCTGTCACATGTTCCATACACCTCACTCATACAGCCTTTTCATCCCCAGATCACTTGCTTGTTTTCACTCATTCCACATTTAATGAACAATAGTGGGCCTATCTTCTCTTACACGCCTATAGGTCTGCATTTTGGAAGACACCATAGGCTTCAGGCTCACACTTCCTTCCCTCTTAAAAGAAGGATAAAGTAATAGCTGAACTTTGGAAACCTCGTGTGAATCAAATGTAGGGTTTTATGTTAGTTTCATTTGCTACACGGTGAGAAAAGCAAAACAGGGCCAGGGTAAAGAAGTCTTTAGAGAACAGCTTCATGGCAACCAAAGCTGTATTCCCGTGTATAAGTGTGGTGCTGGCACAGCACCAAACACACATTCTTATGGCCTAGTACTAAAGCAGCAATAGCAGCAGCTTGGCATGAGGCTATATTCTGCATTATGCAGACAGCTTTCAACCCCTCCATATACAACGCAAGTGGAGGAGGTGGTTCACACATGAATCCATGTGAAAGCCTGAGCCACAAGAAACAGAACAAAATAGCCAGTCCAATAGATGAGAAATGGAATAAGATAGCCAGTCCAAACAATTTTAGTGCCAGGAAAACACAGGCCAGAATCCTGTTGGGGAAAAACATGCACTCAACTGTACTCATGCCAGAAGCATGAGTGTCCACTGTATAAATGACTTTGTAAAGGTCATCCCATCAAGGGGGGAAATGACCTGTGTAATTACCATTGCATGCAATTCTTTCCCCAACAGAATTGTGGCCTTAAATTTAACACACAGCTTTCCACCTCTGTACTTTGTTGCTTACTGTGAACTATTAAAAAAGACAAACTCAAGAACACCAAATACATCAAGTTTCACAATTTGATGTATTTTCTCTACCTGTTAACTATTTGACAGATATTGCCACTTGACTATATCCAAACACACATCATAAAATGCTCGAATGTACTTAAAATTTCTATAAAACATTCACATAAAAATAAGCTGTTATATGCGACTCTAAAATGAGTTGTTAGACTAAGAGTTACATTTTATCTGGAAAATTGTTATATGTACTGGAACTACAGTAAAAGTGAGAGTGCAGAAGTATCAGCAATAATGTTCCAGTGGGCAATGGAAAGATTTTAAGTACAGTACTTTCACACCGATTGCATTCATGTCTGTCTCAGTTGTTAACATCAAACTAGTACATTTTTACAAATAAACTGTATCCTTAGAAAGGGGGTGGGGAAGGATTTTGTAAGCATATAATGAGCACATTTTCCCCAACAGGACATGCAAACTTTATAACACACTCACATTCTACGATGCATCAGTTAGTGTATACACATATCATTAGTACCTCATGCAGCTGTGTGATACACAAAAAGCTACATATACTTACCCAACGGTACGCTATCTAGGTCTGTGTAAAACAATGGCAAAGAGGAAACAAAAAGCAACACTCCAATCAAAACCAATCCATTTGTAGAGTGGTCATTAAAGAGTCCTACATTATATTATAAATAGATTTAATGTATCAGAACTGGCAGAATAGATGCTGTATAGTACACACCACAAGATTTTCTACAGTTCAGTTGAGTATATGAATTTAAGTACTTAGAATTTTCATCACGTTAATTGTTTAAGCTCCTAATATTGTAGACATGTAAATTCAAACTATAATGGTGGAGTTTTCTACATTTCATTAGCACGGAGAACGACATTTGTAAAAATAAACCTTTAAATGCATAAAGATCAAATGATATTTTATCACTTAATATAAATACAGCATCTATTCATAAAATATCTTACTTGAAAACACACACTTAATACAAACATGCATCATTAAGCCAACGTAACATGCAGTGTAATTCTATTTCACAGAAAAAGTACCTTGCAACGCATGGCCCAGCAATGCATCAAGTTCAGGATTTAATTCTGCCTTTTCTTTCAACATGTGGAACAACAGTTGGTTCTGGGTAGCACTGGTAATTTCTGTTTGCTTAAGGCGTCCTTCCAGAACTTTTATCTGAGCTTCTTTTTGAGCTGCCTGGAGACCCTATCAAGATACAGGAAGATAAAGGAAAATACGATCACCTCCTTAAATCTGTAAACCATTCAACAAGATTTATAAGTACACATACACACAATTTCTATAATCTATAGGCACCATATTAAAAATCAATTGATATTTTGTAGCTCTTGTGCCAACTGTCAACATGCATTTGTGACATCAAATGGGAAACAAATTACAAACTTCTACATTTGTCCTCATACCATGCAAAAAACAAAGACTATCTCGACATGTAGCAAAATACTCAGCACAGAGAAGGAAAAAAGTCCACACTGTTAAAAGATTAACGGAGATTTAAGATTTTTTTCCCAGTCAGCACACAACAAAGATGAAGTCATGAAAATAAGAATCAAAACGTAACAAGACCTGAAGTCTTAGATTAGCAAGAGGTTTTTCTGTTGATATGAATCAAAATGAAATAATATAAGTGGAGAAAACAGACCAAGCGACATTTTGCTGCCTCAGACAGAGCAGCAAATCCCATCTTAAATCTTCTGCCTACTATCAAGAGGCACTGAACATGCACAGAATTGTCTTAAAAGCAAATCATCAAACGTGTGGAGAAAGGGTGTTGAATGGAACCAAAACACGGTAACATTTCTCCTACCTTCTCCCTGAGAGAACAAGAGGACTTTTGTGAGCAGCAATATTTAATGATGGGGATGTGCTGAGAGGCACATTCAGGTCTTGTGAGATTATATGTGTTACCTTATTAATGCCCATTGTAAGGAAATGTTCAAGTAAATATCGAGCTTCTGTTAGGGTACAGGCATTGATCACTGCAGTGACATCGATAGTCTCTCCTTCCTCCTGCACAAACAACAGAAGATAGCAGAATTATTATTATTATTATTTAAATCACTGAAACGGTTCAGGTAGTCTCTCCTTCCTCCTGCACAAACAACAGAAGATAGCAGAATTATTATTATTATTTAAATCACTGAAATGGTTCTGAACTTCAGAAGTACTTTTGTAATTAAAAATTCACCTTACTAAGCCTAGAATATTTAAGAAAAATTCCAACAAAAATTACCACATTAAAATTATCAAGATTATTTCAAGAAATGATGACAGATGGGGCAGAGAAACATGCCCCCCCCAATACTAACATTTAATAAATATAAAAATTATACCTCCAAAGACATTTTGAAAGCTTTAGTACATCTAACTGTGCACATGCACAATTACTGAAATGTGGCATTTCAGAGAAAAGGCAGAGCCTACTTTAAGACTTGATAAACAGTTCCGGGATGATGTTATTTTACTTGTGGCTTTGATTTGTAAGTGAAAATATAACAGTGAACAATAAATCTAACAGCTATGTTAGAACAGTTCTCACAGACTAGACCTTTTCTTTCAAAACAGGGAAAACAGTGAGAGTGGCACCAACACACCACAGATTCAGATTCAGATACTACATACCTTTGCTTCCTCCATCTGCATAATGTTTGCCTGACAATCTGAAATACTGTCATTGATGTAATCTATATTTGCAGTCAGTGACTCCATCTCTTCATTGATATTCTGAATGGTTTTTTCTATATCTGGACCACCTTCTCTGATGACCCTCTCCCTCCGTTTGGAAAGCTTTTCCTTCCTTTTGGTAAGTTCTTCACGTTGCTGCAATGTTATGTAAAATGTCATGTAAAAAATACAAGCTAGGAAAAATAGCCAGAAATCTTTCATAGCGAAAAAAGAAATAATGAGGCTATCATGTATTTAGGGAAAAAGAAAAAGCATGTACTATAACCAACAGAGCAACTAGCCTTTATAACATAAATGGCTGGCTCTTATGGAGGATATAAAGAGTATTCTTCTGGCTTATTTCAACAGTCTTAGTTTAATAAAACACCTTAATGTGGAACAGAATTTCTTGCCTTCAGGTAGGAATGAAATAAAGAACACTATTGTTCACCATCAAAGTGTCTAATTTACATTAATTGGCCAAGATCATACTGGTGTTTGCATAACCTGCTGCTTGACAAGGTGCTAGGGAATACCTCTGCTCTGTGCCTAGTCATATGCCCAACTGGGCAAACAAGAGGTACCTAAGCACCTCCTCAATTAGCTGCAATTAGTCACAGTAAGTTACATCAACCTTATATACAAGTACCAATAGGATTCTGGCTATTGACTCTACAAAGAATTAGTGTCCTTTCAGTTTGAGAAACAAAAGCACAGACTTATACACAAGAGGTACTGAATGATTACCTGATGGTTTAAAAAGCATAAGCAATCCTTCCAAAAACCTCAAATCCTTCAGCCTACACAGCAAAGCACCAACCATCATCTCCACATAATCTGTATTACCATCACTACTGTTATTTCTGTTAAAATATTATTTTACATAGTAGTATGCAAAAGTTTCCTCAGCAATGTTAAAGTCTAATTCATGCCCTTACATTACCAACCAATGTACATGTATGTTCATGGTTCAAATTTACTATGCTGTATTGGTGCAAGATGAATAAATGACATTCACTCAAATGTTGCAACTACTTGAGTAAGTGCTTGAGTGAGTCCTGGCTTACCTTAAGCAGTCTGTTCATGTCAGTCTCCATATTGGATATGGTCATTTTCTGCATAATAATCTCTGTTACTCTGCGTTCAAGCAACTGCCACTTCATTCTGGCTCCCTTGGAAGTATAAATTCTTGATGTCATTGCTTTTCTTTGATACTTACTCCTGCAAGCAATTTGGAAATTTACTCTTAGTATGGCATTGTATTTGTTCTTATACGTATGCTGTCAAGCTGCTTCTGACTTAAGGCAACCCAAACAGCGTTTTCAGAGTATGTCAGATAATCAAGAGAGGTTTATCACTGTTATCCTTATCCTCTTGAGTTTCCATGGTTAGGTGAGGATCTAAACTCAGGTCTCCCCTATACTTTATCTATCCACTTTCACAACAGTATTGTATTTAACATAGTGATGTTTTATGTTTAGTATCTCTAATACTTTTACAGAAAGATTCCAATTTTCTTTCTTTATAATTCCACACATGAAATTTAATGTGAGAATTTTTAGAGGCAACAGAGAAGTACCCTTCAGTTTTAGAAAATCTGAAATCTTTCAGATCTGTGTATAATATTAACACAAATGTTTCCAGTGCTTTTTCTCTCGTGTTTTTAAATAAAAGAAGAAATTAGAAAGTAGCATTTTCTACAAACCTGGGCAAAATACACTTGTTTATAATAAGATATTTGCTGAAATAAAAAACCTTCAAATTTCAGACTTTTGTTGAATAAGGAGGAAAGTCTGTTGAATTAGGAATAAGGAAATGGCTAGTGAAAAATTACGAATTTTGTCATTTCAGATTTTCTTCCCCATGGGCATCTGAACCAAAACTACAAACTTTCCAAATTTCATTTTCCTAATACAGAAGACCCTGAAAATGCATATAAATACATATTTGCTTGTAAGAAAACAACTATTTAAATATGCTGGTGTTTCAATAAATCATCTGGATTCTACTGCACAAAATCAGAATGATAGTTTTGTCTGAAACACATGGCTGCTGAAACTTCCAGTCTCTTCCCCATCCACATCAGAGAAGCCCAGCAAACTGTCAAAATAAACTACAAGGCTCTTCATGGACAAAAATCCTAGTTCATCCAGAAGCACACAGCCATAAAGGATCCTGGTTATTAGGACAATTCCTGGTGCCAAAAAGACCCAGGCTTACAGCAAACTGCAGATAAGATGGAAATCTGCTGTAGAACCAAACTGAACTTTCTGAGGATATATAATAAGGCCAAGTATGCAGCAGCTGAGATAGTGGTAGTGATAGGGCACCTATAATGGAGGGGATTGTGTTCATGTAAAATGTCCTTGGTCTATCCCCAGGCATCTCTCAGGAGGGATGATGGAAAAGACCTCTGTAAGAAAACCTGAAGAGCTGTAGCCAGTCACACTACTGAGGCAGAGGGACTGAGGGGATGACTAATAATACAGGAAATACTCTGGAATTGGGACAGTCAGATTTATATCATTCTCCACTCACTACATAATGTACAAATCAATGCAAATCAGCCTGGACTCCCTTCCACCACTGCAAAACCTTTTCCCCTCTGCCACTGGAGCTTCTACTTCATCGCTTCTACAGGCAATATGATCACTTTGGCCAATGTAGAAAATAAATGGGGGGAATTATTCAGAGGTGGAGAGAGAGAGAGAGAGGAAGCAAAGGGGCACTCATAAGGGTATTAGCTCCCCTTGACCAAACACCCTTCTTTCCAAATCATTTTTAGTTCCTTTTTTTAAAGGTTCCAGGCCAGCACTGAGACAAAGTTGCACCGGGGCACATCATCATCACCTCAATTCTGATTTGTGGCAATGCTTTTTTAAGGTTTTCTAGACAGCAAATACTCAGAAGTGGTTTGCCATTCTCTTCTTCAGGTGGTGCCTTGGGACTGTGCACCTTGGCCAAGGCCGCACGGGTTAGCTCTACTCACAGGAGGCACAGTGGGGAATCAAAATAGATACATAAACCACTAAGCTATCCATTCAGCAACGTGAGCACATATGAAAAAATGTTTTAAAAATAAAGAGAGAGAGGGAAGGAAATTACCGATAAACACTTGTTTGCAGATTGTTAAGGCACCTTTTGCTGCAGCAGGGCTTCTGCACATTTGGGCAGCCACTGCAGAAGCTGCTTTAACAAGTATTGTTTAGTGATTTCACACACAAGTACTGTTTAGTGATTTCACACACTACTAACTCCTAATCTGGTCTTCTAAAGCAAATTCACTCAGGAAAACCTGATTTCCTGGATACAAGTTCACAATACATCAATGCATACTTTTCTTGTTGTATACTTGCACACTGATCTTGTGAATGGTCTTGCGAATGCAGAGGAAGTTGCCTGCACCATGTTACACTAGCAATCTGTTAAGCTAAAAGCACAGCCTCAGTACAAAAAATTGAAAATTAAGTATTTGCATAGAATTACCTGGTACCATTGACTGTAGCTGCGGGCAATGCTTGGACCCTTGCTACAGGTATTCTCATCTTCTGTTGTGATGCTGCACGTGACCCATCATTGTCTGCTGAAAGCACATTAACATTTGGTTCTTGATTAGAATGTTCAGGCAGACTTAGCTTCCGACTTGTTCTCCCAGCCACTTTATCAGACATAGGTCTGGCTTGACGACGAAGAGCGGTAACCTAAAATGGTGAGGAATCAGTGTCTAGTTAGTGGGTGGTCCAGCAGTGAAAAAACAAGCCAGTCAGCCAGCCACATTTAGCTTACAAATCAACTGCATGTCATTATTTGTGCAACACTGAAGTGGGCTGGTACCTCTTCCGTTCTGCGGCGCAGAATAACCTCTTGATTCCTCTTCTGAGCCTCCAGAAGTTTTAGCTGATGCTGTGAAGAAGAGGTATCAATCGGTTAAAGTTATAATTACCTCAATACCATCACATACATAATTGTCACCTAGTAAACCAAACAGGGACAAGGAAATACTACTTCTTTCCTAATACCTCTTCTACAGGGGCAAGTACTAGGTAGTCCTACTAGAGAATTATATCCGTAGAATGGTTCAGATTCACATATATGAATACAGTGGTGCCTCGCACAACGATTGCTTCATACAACGATGAATTCACACAGCGATGGGGTTTTTTTGAGGAATTTCCCCCATCGTTTAACAATGTTCTCTATAGGGGAATTTCACTTAATGATGTCCCTTTTTGCTCATTTAAAAGTGTCTTAAAATGTTTGAAACCTGTTTTAAATGCTTGGATTCCATAGTGCACCTTGTGAAACATGTGCAAACTTAATTTGGTTTTGTTCTGAGTCTTCATTAATTTTTGGTGATTTTTTTATTTTCCCCATTTAAATCAATTGAATGGACAGTTCAATGCATTTAAATAGGAAAACAAAAAAATCACAAAAAATTAAGGACGACTCAGAACAACACCAAATTAAGTTTGCATAGGGTTCAGGAGGTGGGCTAACGACTGCAAGCATTTAAAACCTGTTCCAAACATTGTAAGACACTTAAAAATGAGCGAAAAGGGACATCGGAAAAGACTTCAAAAGCACTGAAGCCGGCTTCAGTGCTTTTGAAGCTCTTCAGTTTTCGCTCATTTTTTAAGGGTCTTACAATGTTTGGAAAAGGTTGTAAATGCTTGCAATCGTTAGCCCACCTCCTGAACCCTATGCAAACTTAATTTGGTGTTGTTCTGAGTCGTCCTTAATTTTTGGTGATTTTTT